CACATAAAATAAAAAATTTATATCTTTATGTTTGAAGCCTGAAATGTGGCAAAAGGTTGAAAAGTTCAAGGGGGCCGAATACTTTCGCAAGGCACTGTATGTGGTTCACAACTTAGATCTGTAGAATTGTTTCCAATACTTGTCCTCTATCTATCATGCACTTCATCAAGGTACTGAACTGCTCCAACAGTCCTTTGTCTATACTCAACATCATCAAGATACTGGCCTGTATAGACTATCCTCTGTCTATACTACACACAACCAAGGTACTGGACTGCCTCTTGTATTGCCTGTCCTCTGTCTATAAGATATTTGATAGTGGAAAGAGGAAAGGTCGTGAATCAAAGAGAGAGTTGGAGCAACCAGATGTCAGTCTGTTTCACAAATATGATGGAAGCATGATTGTATTTCCCCAACGTCTGCTGTGTGTCCCACACAGGAATGTCCAGTTCTGGTCCTAGATGACTTCTGTGTCTGCAGTTTTTCATTGTAGCACAGTTGTTATCTGCCCAGTTCCACTAATTATTGTTTTATTTGAACTTTTTTTAATTTTTTTCCCAGTCCTTTAGATCACAGGTCCCCAGTCCTGGTCCTGGTGAACCATACACCTGGTGGTTTTCATGTAGCTGAGCTCAATCATCTAATTACAGCCTTAATTTAACAAATTAGTCTCTCGATTGGATATGTCCACCTTTTTTGGGATTTTATTTTACTTATGAAATGCAATAGTTCAAAGGTGTCCTCCAATATGATTAAGAGCTGAAAAGAGTCAAATAGATCAAATGAATACCTAATATGTATATTATATTAATACCTATTATGAAGTTAATTAAGTTTTCAATTGTGTAATTGAGTGCTTGGCTGGAGCAACACCCCGCAGGTGAATGGGATCCCCTGCTTTAGGTGATGATAATTTGAAGAGACGGTCAAACCTACTACACTGTGGCCCTCCACTTACAGGGTTGGACATATTTGCTGCAACATGTAAAATGTAAAATGGGCTTGATACAATGAAACTTCCCACTCCCCCAGGTCTCTTCAGATTGTAAGAATATCAGTAATTTCACATACAAGACACTCTTAAAGGCCATTGTTTGAATCAAATCTCTGGACAATTCAGATTTCATACCCTACAATATACATGATATATATACGTCTTTATACAATTTTAGAATTATGCTAACAAGAAGTATCGAGATACTCTAATTTTTCTTTTATGTCATTTCCTTGTTTATTCCTTTGGATACTTTTATATCTTTCTAAGGAATAGTAGTATGTATAAAAATGTATTCTCATATATAAGCTTATTTTTAACTAGCAGCCTAATGCAAACTTTGCAAATTTGAGTTGATTGTTTCATATCTATGTAGGTATGGTTGTTAACACAACTTAAGCAACCTGTGTGTAAATGCCTTACAAATCTCACAAAATAAAAAAAGAAATATATATTTCAAATAGTGTTTTGTAGATGATTTGTGAAGATGAACATTAACACAAAAATTTGTTTTGATTCAAAGGGCTGTGTTTTCAGCTCTCTTTGTTTTAATTTACAGTGAATTCATTGGAGTCTATAGAGATGTTTGAGCCACAGACATGAAGAAGGATCCCTGGATCTGTGCTTGCCATCAACATTCCACATCTTCTTCAGAGGACAAGTGATTCATACAGCTCAAAAAGACCAGAGTTGTTCAGGGGCAGATCAGCAGAGCAAAAGAAAAAAAGAGAGTATCAACCTCATGAGTCATTGTCAAGCCTTCCTCATGATACATAGCTCACTGTCCTTTTTATGGAGAATTTCCTGTTCACTTTAAAGATGAGACAAGCAAAAACCATCCCAAAAAAAAGTTCAGAAATATTAGGTTGATTAGTCCTCCAGTCTAAAAAGTGGTTTAAATCCTTGTGTGGTTACACAACGAAAAATTGAATATTATTATACTATTCAGACATGAGCACACAATGGACAACATGTTTAAATGCAGTAGGACTTTCCAATGTTATAGTACTAATGAAGTTTAAAAAATCTAAAGGCCTTTTGGGAATGTAATTCAAGGGCACATCTGTCTGATATACTAATGATAAACTCATCATCTGATACAATAACGTAGCATGTGTGACTGTTGATGGAAAGATGCTCAATAAAAAGTAGGAGAGCTAAGGCACTTGCAAAAGATGAGTCCCGAATTTTTGTTAGGATGACTGTATAAAATGCATATAAATTACTATTCTAAATAAATTCTTTGTTGTAGTTAGCATACATTTTTACTGTAGTTTGAGTGAAGAGCAGTGTAAGGGTGTAGGCTGCAAATGTTAATGGAGACTACTTGCAGGCTGAAAAGCAGAACAGAAAAATAACATATACAGTACGTATCTTTACATGTGAGGGAGAATAGTGTAAGGTGTGATCAAAGTTGAAGTTTTCTGATGCATTTTTTCAAATGATGAATTCTTTCAAAGTTCCACAGATGGAAAGATTACTGAAACTGTGGAAGGGAGAGGTAAAAGAGGAATCCCACTGCTTGAACAACAAAGAAGACTGATATATTAGTATTAATGGCCAAAAAGATGGAAAGTGGGACACAGCCTCCTCTGCCTGAATTGGCAGTTTGTCAACTTGGTTTGTGAATTTTACATGTAAAACATGGATTTGTAGATTTTTTTAGCAAATTTATATGAGCAGGATAAATCAGTACCATGTGGACAGCTAGTGTTGAGAAGCCTTGTGTTATTAAACATCTCTATTACATATAGGCCCCAGGACTGTATGTATAGAATTGAATTGTGATACACAGTGAGATAAAAAAATCCTAGATTTTACAGAAATGTTACAGATCCAAAGTGATTGTAACCTACAGTATGTTGTTCAACACAACTCCTTAAAGAAATTCACACCTACACCTTCTAGGTCTGCCTGAAAATGTGGGCATGAAAACCCTACATTTTTTATTAATCAAAAGGTTTTGAGAGATAAATTATACTGGTGACCATTCCAAGTGGAAAAGAAGAATGCTGCTGTAATACACATCTCTATTGCTCATGAATCACCAAGACTCCACCAGGGGGACAGGAGAGTCTGAGAGCTTGAGTGTGCTCAGACTTAGGTCTCAACCCCTTGCAGCATTAATTGAGACACATGGCGAGCAGGGAGCTGCCAGTTACCCATCTCTATTGGTTTTTCCCAGAGCATACTCATTGCTGGCATTTTGGCTTTGTTTTATGAATTACTGAGTTGTTGGGGTAATGTCAGGACTGACAACTGCCTGGACACACGTTCAGTGCTTTAGTGCTCAGAAGAAACTGTTTTACAGGGCTGGACAGCATGGTGCTTTGATAGGGAACTTGTGTCAGTTTCCAAAAAAAAGAGAAACAGAAAAGAGTGGAAAGAGGAAACAAACAAGAAGAGAGAGTGAGAGACCTTTCTTCAAAAGGGTAGGATCCAAATAAATTCCCTACTTCAGGCCATGAGACACTGTAGCCTTGGTAACAGAGCCTACAACATTTTTGTTTGTTTGCTTTGATAAACTCTGCAAGTGACACCTGGCAATCTTATAAAAATAAAAATCTGTTTATTCGCTTTTATACTGTAACATTTATTTGATCTCTAGGTTGCAGTAGTGGTTGATGTACAGTACAGTAGCAGTACACAGGTCTGGGACATACAGTGTGCCGACAGATGTCAGTAATGTTATTATTGGCCTATTGAAAAGGTCGCTGTTAGCGCTCTCTCCGTCGTTGCTAAGTGCTGAGTTAGGGACTCTTCAGAGAGTGTCCTGGGTCAAAGGTCAGGAGTCAGTTTTGGGAGCAGTATTTCCAGAAGCAGACTGTAGGAAAAGGAAAAGGAGACAGAGAAGTACAGTGAGACAAAGCAACACTAAGTTCAACTTCTTCCCTGCCTTTCAGACATGTAATATTTTAAAGGAACTTCACTGGTTTGGTTGCAACAAAGAGCATAATTCATTAAATATATTACTTATTAGATCAAAAAAGTGGAGTGTTAGTGGAAACCTAGGTCTGGAGATGGGGAATATACAGTAGGACAACAAGTGGACACAGTCACCTCAACTCTCCCATTCTGCTTCGATTTTGTTCTAATTTTTCATTATTGCAACATCAGCAAGGGGCACTAGATCAATAGTAGAACTCTGTTCTGGAGAATGACAGGATCTTCTGGTTGATATTCCACCCAAACTCGTAATTACATCATTGTACCAGTTGTTTACACCACAAAAACAAATAAGTTGTAATTCAAGGACATACATATAGACCCTACACAACATGGATCTCTACACTCAAACCAGTACAGATCCTTGAATACTGCAGAGAGCCTGGGCAGCTGTTTATGATCTAGTTACACAAGAAGTTAAGCAATAATACAAATTAGAATAATGAGGTTAATTTATAGGCTTTATCCAAGGTAACTCTGGTATGGGCTTCTAACAAAAGGCATATAAAACAGTTTAAATAACAATTATGTAAAACAGTCTACATAATGCGCACTCTGTTATTTTTGGAATGTAATGATAGAATATAGAACACTAATATAACTCACTCAAGGTGTTACTTACCTCGTTTATTGGGTTTTTTTGGTGGTTGAGGGAGGGACTTCTTGAAACTTCTCCCTGGCAAGGTCTGGGAGTCAGCGAGGTCATCACTTGGACGTGCTGCAGTTCCTGTCTCATCCACAGGGGGAGCTGTGGCAGCTCTGTGAGTTTCTTCTGATGCCCCCTGTCAGAGATTCACAATACAGACACTTTTGAGAAAGGAGAACAGACAGAGCTATTGCTGTAACAGGAAATCTTTATACTCTCCATGGGTTGTGGAAGGTATTTAAGTTTGCACCCATCAAGCTCTTTGTTCTTGGGTTAATTTTCAGGCTTTTGTTTATTTAGCTACAGAACTAAGAAATTATACCTTATACCTTTATTATACCTGAGTAAAAATGGTGAAAGCAGAGAATGGGGGCAGGTTACTATTGGCATGTAATGAAACAGAGGTGCACCAGATAGAAGAAAGAAGCATGACAGAAACTTACCATTCGGTTTCTCTTCCCCGCGGCGCGGAAATTAGCTGCGAGAAAATAGAATGATTAGTTAGCACAGAATTCACAATGCAGTTACTCACTGATCACTCTTATGTCTTCTAACTTTGTCTCCAAACTCACCTAAAGGAAATGAGTCACTGTTCTCCATTCACAGTACAAATCAGAGAGCACAGAACTCCATCTATCAGTCTGTAGGCATTCTAGTGTCATGGCAACATACAGCACAGGACACGAAGAAAGACTGATAGGACCATTACGGGGCCATAAATATAGGAACAGTTTAGAATAGCCAGTCAAACACACTGTAGATCATGAACTTGGGAGGTCGAAGGACATTGGAATAACTGGGGAAAACCCATGTGAATAAAGGATGAACATGCAATTGGCACACAGAAGGTGCCATTGTATCCAGGGCTCAACAGTTGTAAACTGGACATGATGTTAGCCACATCACCAGTCCACCTCCATTCTAGTGATGACTTTCACAATTAGCTAGCGCTAAGAGAACTTGTCTTCAGCCATATAATTAATAATAATAATAATAATAATAATAATAATAATAATAATAATAATAATAATAATAATTGCTTACACTTATATAGCGCTTTTCTTGACACTCCACTCAAAGCGCTTTACAGGTAATGGGGACTCCCCTCCACCACCACCAATGTGCAGCATCCACCTGGATGATGCGATGGCAGCCAAAGTGCGCCAGAACGCTCACCACACATCAGCTATCAGTGGGGAGGAGAGCAGATTAATGTAGCCAATTCATAGATGGGGATTATTAGGAGGCCAGGATTGTAATAGAGCAATGCAAGATCCACCAAGAAACCTGGAAGAGTTTTCTGTCTTGATATCTTTGTGACTTCTCTCCCAGTTTCACACTTCCTCTCCCTTTCTCACTTTTCCCTCCTCTCCCTCACCCCGTGTTCCAGTGATCCTGGTGCCCAGTGTGATGTTAGCATTCCTGTGAATCTCCTCCAGTGCAGACAGAATCTTCAGGATCCTCTCCAGCTGCTCTATACCATTCTCCGTGGAGACATGGGGTTTCCTCTCATCTGGATGTGAGAACACAAATTTCTCAATTAGCAAAGACTTTTAATCCAGAGTAATTTGAAGAGATCAGAGACAAACTATGGAATCAAGACCTTGTGCTACAAAAATACTTTATCTGATCTTCAGTTTTAAATATCAGCCAAAGAACAAAGCACCAGGATATTCAATATCATGTATTTAATGTAAGAAACTTCCAGCACAAAAAAAATACAAAACAGCCCTTAACAACAATTTGAAGGAAGTAACCTTACTAACCACGAGGAAGATAAGAATGCAAACATTTAGCATTTTATTTTTCTCATTTGATACTTTTTACTGCATGCTTATCATTCAACAATACTGACTCATAATTTCTGCATGTACTGTACTGTATATAAACTTCCTACAGCTCTGTGGTAGTACTTATCACTTTAACCCCTGGCATGGCTACTCAGCTGGACTGAATCACTTTCCATTTAAAGAGGTTGTCATGACCCTGAATGGATAATTATGAAGCGCTGCTTTCAAACTTCCTCATCACTGAAGTGACAGCGTCTGGTGTCTTTAGTGTCATATGTCTTTAAGTTTGTTAGGCTGTCCTAAGGTCTATAGTTCTGATACTGACCAAACAGATCAGACCGACAAATTGTCATCAAAATGTATGTGAAATATTCTCTACATTAACCCCTTGCATGTACAATAAGGATCAACTCCACTAGGCAGACCAGGATTAAACCAACAACACTGCTTATTAAACTTCACAGCCTCGTAACACCACCCCACTCCCTGACTACGTTGTTATTTACCATGTGAATAGTGATGTGGTGTGGTTGCTATGCAGGCAGTCCTGGCCTGGAATCAGTCTTTGTTTGTATCACTGCTGGGGCCAAATCGTACTCAGGGCAGACTGAGATTACAGTGTTTAATTGGCTTGAAGTGGTCAATGGCCAGGGGATTCTGGATTGGGAATGTGGTTAGGATTGTTGCTTTGCAACACTGTGGTCCTGGGTTCAGTTCCTGGGATGCTCTGTCTGTGTCATTTATATATTTCTCCCCGTATTCATGTGGGTTTCCTATCATGGTCAAAAGACATACTGTTAACTTGATCAGCTTCTAGGAAAAACTGGCCCTGGTGTGTGTGTGTGTTTGTGTATGTACTGTATGTACCCTGCAATGGACTGGCATCTCTTCCAGGGTGTATCTTGCCTTGTGCCTCTTACTGGCTGGAATGGGCTCTCGCCCATAAGAGCTGCTTATTGGATAAAGCAGTAAAATATTGCAGAATAATTAAAGAAAATTTAAGAATAATAAAGAAAATATTGCAGAATAATTACATTTGTTGTGGTGGCGCATCATTATGGGCCTTGGGGATACAGCCTCACCATAGAAAAGTAGAGGAAAATATAAAAAAGCTTACTAAAAACAAGAAAAGTTAAGAGCATCACTGTATAGCACAACTGCTAGCTTCCCAGGAAAATTACAAGTTCTTATACATTCTTGCCTCACTGTTTTGATTATCTTGTTCCTTGCTTTTTTGGAGTTTTTCATATTGTGTACAACAACAATAACAACAGCAGCAACAACAATAATAATAATTGTTATCTTTCCACTCCATGAATGGCAAACAATAAGATACACTTGACTGTGTTATTGTGCAGTCACATTATTGGCATAATTTATGAAGTAATCATTTTATTTTTTTAATGAAATTAGGCCTTTCCTGGGTTAGATTGAAGTAGTGAAATGTTATGTTAATGATCTTTTGTGTAAACAATAATAATAATGTGCTGAACATTCTAGTAGAATTTCCTTGGGAAGTATCTGCTTTTTTACGTGATTATAATATTAAATCTGGCTTTGTCAAAAGTGATTTGGTAAATACTAAAATGCTTGCATCTACATCTATTAAATTCTTAAAAACATACATACTGTACAGTATATAGTACCCATCCTCATTAAAACAGCACTTAAAGTTAAACCACCACTTCGAAAACTACAGTAATCTATGATGTTGGACAGGTTTTGTTATTTTAAGGTGGGTAGCTGCGTCAGCATGCATAGGCTGCAAAGGAACTAGTAATAGGTTTATTCCATGCTGAAAAAAAGAAGAAAGAGAACACAACGTTTCGGCCGTGGAGCCACACCTGAAGAAGGCTCCACGGCCGAAACGTTGTTTTCTCTTTCCTCTTTTTTTCAGCATGGAATAAACCTATTACTTGTTCCTTTGTTATTTTAAGACTACTTCCTATTGTTAAAGGTTAGAAAGATTTCATAAGCAGTGTGCAATTCCCTATTAGGAGCATGTAGACAGCAGGGTGAAGGAGTGGTCAATGCTATGCTTTTGGAAGTATAAGGTTGTGTGTTGAATTCCAGGGGTACAGCATGGTCATTTCACTTTGGCTCTCTTAAATAAAATCTGGAGCTGTACAAATATTAGCTGCTTTGAATTAAGGCATCACTTAAAGAAGTTATGAATCATACTTTGAAATTGATGTGCACA